CTGCGGGGTAGCTCTTGCGTGGCTGACGCCATGCAGCGCATCGCGCGCCTTTTTCAAGGCGTAGTCTCTCGGCAGGAGGAGGAAAAGGGAAAACCGGGGTCTTCCTCTTCTCCATCTTCTTCGGCGCCGGAGTTCGACATAACCCGGTCTATTACCCCCTCGACCGGGTATCCGTAAATGAATTCCCCAGCGTTAAAAAAAAAGGTTTCTTGTAAGCCCGAACGGGGACGTTCCAACACTGCATTTTTGTGCCACGAGGCAGTAATGCCTTTTGGTTCGAGTGTGAGGCATCTATTGGACTATAAAACGGAGACTTAGAGCTCATGTTTTAAAGCAGATGACGGCATTCATGTTGTATCATACATATACATCGGCTCCTATAACAACTTAATATCAGGAGGGCGGTGAGCTCTACCATCCATCTAAGTAATAAAAAAAAAGATTAACAAAATTTAGACGATGTCAGAGAATTTTACATAGAATATTCCATAAGCCCATAAAATAGTAAAGTCAGATGTTCTGTACTTGTTTAAAATACATGAAAGTATGACTACACCACTGAGAACTACTAAAATTGATTTAAAATCATGGTATTAAATCAATTTGTAGCGGATTTTTTTAACCATATACATATACTAGATATGTTGGATTAATGCTATTTGTTGACGCATCAACTCCTCTTTCGCGAAGTCGGGAAAGACGGAGGCAGCGCGGTGCGGGAGGGGGCGGCAAACCGGCGGACCGGCGAGCTCCGCAACGCGTAGAACAACAACCACCTTCACTTCTGAACGGGACTCAACAGTTACAAGACGCGCAATATATTGTACAATCACTTCATATTAAACCAAATAGAAATTAACAGTATTTTATAATTTAACGGCAGACTTCACAAACCACCTAAGAAAACAAAACACAAAGGAAATACAGTCTGAAATTCACAATCAAGAACATGGTCCTTCGAGCCGGATGATACTCAAGAATACCAGCATCAATACGGTCAGGCCAGTATTTCCTTTTATCCAAACCCAATCCTGTGCTCGTCGGTGCTAATACCGTAATTTTAAATCAATTCCAGTAAATTTTCGAATACGTGAACACGGTGTGCAATCTACCTGCAAACGTGAACAATTCGTGCAGCTCGTCGTACCGGTGAAATAATCGTGAGTTTTTACCTTTGTTTCCCATAAACCACTAAAATGAACAAAAGGAAGCAACATTCGATGGAAGATGATGAGGAAATAGTGAAAGATTTAGTTAAGAGGCGAGGTGTTTTAAAAGGCAAGCTCACTTTTTTTTCTAAATTTGTCGAGTCACTTAATATTTCCACAGTAACGGATTTGCAAAAATCGGAATTGCAAGTTCGTGTACAAAAAATCGAACAGCTTTTTGAACAATTTTCTGAAATTCAAGATGATATTGATATGAAGGTATCTGATCTTCAATTAGAGAATGAGTTGCTTGTCAGAGAATCTTTTGAAAATCAATATTATTCTATTGTGGCCAAAGCTAAATGTATCTTAAATAATAAAAGTGAGAAATCGAGCTCCACAAAGAAATCATGCATNCAATATTATTCTATTGTGGCCAAAGCTAAATGTATCTTAAATAATAAAAGTGAGAAATCGAGCTCCACAAAGAAATCATGCATAAAACTACCCACCATTTCTTTACCCTCCTTTGATGGAAATTATGATAATTGGCTTGAATTTAGAGACACGTTTAGTTCTTTAATCCATAATTCACCTGATATGGATAACATTCAAAAGTTTCATTATCTACGTTCAAGTCTCATCGGTAACGCACTGCAGGTTATAAAATTGTTAGAATTTTCTGCCGAAAACTATGTGATTGCGTGGGATCTATTACAAAATAGATATAATAATAATCGTTTACTCGTGCATAATCATGTCAAGGCGCTGTTTTCTATGCAGGTTATAAACAAAGAATCATCTGCGCTTATACGCAAACTTATTGACAGTGTTTTGAGAAATATTCGTGCGCTTAAAACCTTAGGTGAACCTACTGACATGTGGGATACTTTAATAGTTTACATAATGGTTTCTAAATTAGACGCGTCGACAGAACGCGAATGGGAACTTCATAAAAGCGACATTCAGAAGTCAGAGTCAAATTCTAAGTTAACATTATCGCATTTAATCAAATTTCTAAGAGACAAAGCCGACGTGTTGGAGACAATAAAAGTATCTCACACTAAACCTGCGCCTGCCACTAACATTAAAATACAATCATCAAACTCACATAGTTACTCTTATTTATCCACACAAAACAACGAAAATAGGCAGTCAAATTCGAATAAGCGATCGCGTCCTTGTAGCATGTGCAACGCAAATCATGGGCTTTATTCATGTAATGCATTTTTAAAATTATCTACACAAGATAAAATAAAGTTTTTAAGTAGCAAAAAGCTTTGTCAAAATTGTTTACGCGCAAATCATTCAGTCAAAGACTGTTGGTTAGGTCCCTGTAAGAAGTGTAATAAAAAACACAATAGTCTAATTCACCGTGATGACAATAGTGACGACGCCAGCGCAACCGTATCATCATCGCCGGCGCCGCAGCTTGAGTCGAGCCCACACACTGGCGGCACAGCTTCACTACACTCGCACACATATCACGGTGACATTACCACATCAGCACATCCAAGACTACCTACTGTGTTGTTGTCAACGGCATTAGTCGAAATCGCAGACAACAACAACAAATATCACACAATTCGTGCACTTCTCGATAACGGAAGTCAGCATTGCTTTATCTCGCAGTCATTATGTAATCAATTAAACATTCCATTGATACAATCCTCTATTAAAATCACAGGTGTGGGTAACTCCGTAACCCAGGCCACCCAATCATGCGATATTCAGATGCGAGCTAAAACTAATAATTGAGTCGTCTATTATCAAAGGCGGCAATCTGTGCATTTGGACAAAAAAATTTTATTGATATGTCAATACAGATTTATTTGAATATAATCGTCTCCTTCAAAGAATACGGTTCAAAACCTGCATTAAATAAAGGTTAATAGTTAACCTGTTATTTATCTAAGATGTCGTTCCGAAGAGTTTTGTGACTGCCAATGGAATACAAAGTCAATAATTCGTTTTTCTGATTTACCAATCATTGTCCAAAAGTCAGATTGCCGCCTTTGATAATAGTCGACTCAATTATAACACGCGCTTAACTTGTATAGTTTTACCTCGTATCACTGCTCAGATGCCATCATTAACACATACACACATCAACAACATTCAAATTCCACACAACATCATGTTAGCTGATCCAGATTTTCATTCACCCTCTGATATAGACTTATTAATCGGCGCAGATAAGTTTTGGGAACTTTTAAACGACGGATTAATTCGCTTAAAACATGGTCCGTGTTTACAAAACACTAAACTCGGATGGATTATTTCCGGCTCATTTTATAATAAGAACTACTCAAATTCAACGAATAAAGTTCATTGCAACCATTCACAAACAATAGACACACAATTAAAAAACTTTTGGGAGCTGGAAGAAATTCATTCAATTCATAACAAATATACAAAAGATGAACGCGCATGCGAAACTTTATTCGAAACCACAACAAAACGCGACGATTCGGGTCGTTTTTCCGTGCGCATTCCTTTACAAGAATCAGCTGATGCGCTCGGCGATACATTCATTATCGCTGAGAACCGATTCCATGCACTCGAGCGCAAGCTAGAACGTAGCGCGGCTAGCTATAAACAAATGTATATCGATTTTATGAATGACTACATAAGCTTAGGTCACATGACTCCTATTACCGAATACACAACGCCACATTATTTTCTACCTCACCACGGTGTGTTACGAGAACACAGTACGACTACTAAGCTTCGAGTTGTATTTGATGCGAGTGTCAAATCAAGCTCAGGTAAGTCGCTTAACGATATACAACTGATTGGAATTCCATTACAGAATGACATTCTTTCTATTTTGTTACGATTTCGCGAATCTCGTTATGTTGCTTGTGCCGATGTCGAGAAAATGTATAGGCAAATATTAATACAACCCGATCAACGAGACTTGCAATTAATTCTTTGGAGAGAAAGTCCGTCACAGCCGCTCGGTGTGTACCGGCTTAACACTGTGACGTACGGTACGGCCTCCGCGCCTTATCTCAGCATGAGGTGCATCAAGCAACTCGCAGCGGAATGCAACGATGACGTCATAGCTCGCGTCATCAATGACGACCTATTCGTTGACGATTTAATTACTTCATGTGATGATAAACAGAGATTAGTGGAGATTTGTGATGGAGTTTCAAACGTTCTAAAGTCTGGTTGCTTTAATTTGCGGAAATGGATTTTTAATTGGGACATTTCCGATTGCGCTTTAACATCATCAAAAGAATTATCGCTAGGAGATATCAATCAAAGTAAGACCCTCGGATTAGGCTGGTTACACACTTCCGACTATTTACACTTTAACACGAAAATAGATCATGATATATCTAATGTAACTAAGCGCGTTATATTATCGACTATATCACAAATATTCGATCCGTTGGGTTTACTAGCACCGACTATTATTTTGGCCAAGGTTTTATTACAAAAACTTTGGTTATGTAAGGTCGGCTGGGATGATATCGTACCTCGTGATATTCTTCTTAAGTGGCATAGATTCTTAAATACTCTTCATCAATTACCAGACTTAAGAATTCCGCGGCACGTTAGGGGTGAAAATACTCAACACACAGAGTTACATATATTCACAGATGCGTCACTCGACGCTTACGGAGCGTGCGCCTATATACGTACCTATTCAGATGATGTATCGACACCGGTAACAGTAAATTTGTTGTGTGCGAAAGTAAAGTAGCACCTATAAAACCAGTTAGTGTGCCGCGCTTAGAGCTGTGCGGTGCATTGATAGGCGCACGACTATACGCTAAAATATTTCAATCCTTCAGATTGACGTTTTCTAAAATTTATTTTTGGACTGATTCGACCATTGTTATGGGTTGGCTTCGTATGTCACCTAGATCATTAAAAACATTTGTACAAAATAGGGTTGTTGAAATAAACGAGTTAACAGGTGATCTGCCGTGGTTACATGTTTCTGGAACGGAGAATCCGGCGGACATGCTCTCGCGCGGGGTTTTACTTGATGAATTAAAGGATTCGGAAACTTGGTGGCACGGGCCATCATTTCTTCAAGGTTCCGATGTCGATTGGTCACATACAACCAGAATCATTGACCAGTATGATCTACCAGAATTAAAATCTGACGTGACGGCAATGGTCTGTCAGTCAAACGCACAGTCATTTATTGAATTTGAACGTTTTTCATCATATAATCGATTACGACGTGCTATTGCGTATATGTTAAGATTTATTTATAACATTCGTATAAAATCAAAATCACAGCGGAAGTCCGGCGCGCTTTTGACGGATGAATTAGACAATGCGACTAAGGTTTTAGCACGAGTGGTTCAACAACAATCGTTCCCGGTCATGTATGATGCACTAGTAAACAACTTACCTCTGAAACCTACGCGTAATATATCAGGCTTAAACATATTTTTGGACAGTGATAAAATCATAAGGGTTGGAGGCAGATTAAGCAATTCAGAGACTTTCTCGTTTGACAAAAAACATCCCATATTATTGTGCGCTAAACACCGCTTCACGCGCCTTATGTTTCAGCATGAACATAAACAGCTACTCCACGCGGGGCCCCAGCTGCTACTGGCTTCAATCCGCGACAGCTGGTGGCCGCTGAGAGGTCGCGATCTCGCTCGTAACACCGTACATACCTGTGTTATCTGTACGCGCATAACTGGANCCGACTCTTGAGGCTTTACAACTCCTGCCTCGAGTCGGGACGGTTTCCTTCATCGTGGAGGACGGGCAGACTCGTGCTGTTGAGAAAGGAGGGGCGCCCGGCGGATACTGCCGCCGGGTACCGTCCCATCGTGTTGCTGGATGAGGTGGGCAAGCTGCTGGAACGCATTCTGGCGGTCCGCATCATTCAGCATCTGGTCGGGGTGGGTCGAGGCGGATCTCGCCCAAGCCCTGGCCCTCTAAGTGTTTCGGGTCTCCCTCACATGTCGGCCTGGGGACCGAGGAAGGGGGCCTAAGAAGACGACGTGCAAGCTGCTCTGCACGCGTTTTATGCATGAGCATCCGGGCGATGGAAGGCCGGCTATCCTCAACCCACGCTGGTTCTGACCCAGTGGGGTATTCCGTAGGATAGACCATTCTAACCGGCGCCATCTAGGCGGGCTTCGGATAGCCTGCCGACCGAGAGGTCTGGTGGTCGTGGCGCCGACGACCGCCAGTCCGGCGTCCCGAGGGGGAGGGTGATGGGAGAGATGTGCTCCGCACTAAACGCTTCACTTTCCCCCCTTGCCTTTTCATGAGTTTTGTCTCATGCGAGGTTTGGACGTTGGTTGTTGAGAGACAGGAGGTTTTAGTCGGTTCGACTCCGACATGCCCCGCCTTCCATCCCCAGTGAAGGGCGGAAGAAAAAAAAAAAAAAAAAAAAAACGCAGTATAATTGACCGCAGACTATAATTAATTGGAATTGTAAGTGTAAGTGTATTCTCAATTTGACAACAGACGTCAAGAACAAAAGTTTGACAATAAATAGTATGCATGCGTGTGTGCGTCAAATACATGGTATGTAGTGTGTGTAATGTTTTCTTTATTGATTTAAAGTATCTTTTATGCATTATTTAAAAAAAATATTAGCATTGTGCACTTCTTCTCTATATTCTCTATAAGTGTGGAAAATTTCATACTCCTCCGTCCGCGCAATTTTCGTAAAAAGGGATACAAAGTTTTTGCTTCACGTATTAATATATAGATATCCTATATTGTCCTAAATAGACAACTGTAATAATAAAAACGCTTTCGGTTCACGCTAAATATCAGTTTTGTTACTCGTTCTGACCTCTGTTGCACTGTGTACCTACTAATACACAAAACTAATATTTCGTAATAGGTAAAAATCGTTGTGTATAATGATAGATAGATAGGCATATAAAATACTGTTACATCAGACACAAGATACAGCGAATTTGTGTCTACAGATAACGTGACAATGTGCGATCTTTTTTGGTAATAAAATTTTCTTTGAGACATCCCTGAGATGGAAAGCATTACCCGAAAAGTAGACCTGAAAGGAGGTGGATACTCATATAAATGAATAACATCTTCCATCAAATAGATGTATTGTTACGCGCTGGGGTTCGGGATAAATAAAATTCTACCGAAGTACAAATTAAAAACTATATTCAACACTTAGAACACTTAAAACACTTTGAAATTCTCGATTCGCTTCTTCCGCTTCGCTTCAGGTGACCCGTTCGCTGTTTCGCTTCGAGTAGTTCCGATTACTGACTGACTGCGTGCCATCTCTGCAACGCTGTTATAGCCGATACCACATCCCTAGAATTATCGAGAATATTACACACATTACGAATATTGTGTTTCCGCTATCTGACAATAAATGGCGTTGTACTTCTCGAGCGTTCTAGGTCCTTCGATATACGTTCGACTATTCGGCGATAGATGGCGTTACTACTTTCATAAATCTTGTATAATTAATTTCTTTTATAGGAAATTCTAAATGAGTTTACAGTTTCGAATTTGTAAATGATTTTTGTCATATAAAAATCATTCTAGTTCTGTGCAACGAAATTTATACGAACACGTAGTATGATTTCGTGTATAAGCGTGACTTGGCGCGATCAATCCCTCTTATGATCGGAAGGGAGCATTTGTCAAGGGTTGTTTGAGGAGTCTCAGAAAGAATTATGGAACTCGACAATATAAATGCACACTGCGAACTGAGAAACTTATTCGGCTTTAGTGTACCATTTCAAAAATTAGTGTTTTTTGCACTAGATAAATTATTTCAAATTAATAATTTATATTATTACAATGTTGAAAAAATCAGATTTGCTTATTCAAATAATAGTCATATTATTACAAAACAGGATAATAGAGCATAATTTTGTACAAAAAAATAATTTAAATTATGTAGTATTTTCAAGATATGTATGTACCATGTACATAATATGTATTATAGTAATAAAATGAAAATACATTTAACCACTTGTTTCTTTTGTTCAGTTTTAGATATTCAAATAAAATCCCTTTAAGGTTTTCCCCAATCATTATAAAGGATTTGTAAGCCCTTACAAATCTATAATAGAATACTTTTTGGCCTAAATAAGTATGCCAGACCGTATAATTTGTTCGTGCTGCCCTGAGGCACTCCATCCGGTTGACTGGGCTTTATTTTAATGTTTCTATCCCAGATGATTGAATTTTTATTAGATTCATTTTGCGACAGTTTTTTTGTTTACCGTACTCAGATAGATGCGGCACAGTCTGCTTGAAGCTCAATATTCTGTTTTAATTTGACTGTAATCGTGCCTTTTATTAAGTCTGTAAACTATTGGAAACACCCGTAACTGCGAAATCATAATGAGATAGATTAATTCCGAACACATTTTCGATTAAAGAGATTTAATTAACTGTTATATAACTAGATGGCCGGTCCATAGAACGCCTCGTTGTACAGGGAAGCGTTGATGGTACAAGACCGCGCGGGAGGCCACCAATGCGGTGGACCGACCAAATTAAAACTGCAGTGGGAGGTCCCCTAAATGAGTGCAGTAGAATGGCCTCGAGCAAGGAGAGATGGCGCGACATCGTGAGACGCATCAAGTCTGCCCCTGTCAACACTACATGACGATCACGACCACTCTGTCAGGAGTGACACGACTGAGAAGAAGAAGAATAATTAATAAATTAAAACGAAAATATGTCACAGTGATATCTGAACAATAGCAATGAACAGCATATGCGACTTCGGACATATTATATTGTATCCAAATGTATTGTTACATTCACACTGCTTTATGTCAAAGGATCGGTAATCGTTTAACATCAGCTGCCCATCGTATATTCTGTCCAAAAATTCAATGCACTTTATAATTTATCCTCAAAGAAAGCTACCATTTTATTTTCAACATCGAGGAAAATTATTATCTTGTCTTTCTTACTGGTGGTAACTTTGTTTTTTACTGGTGGTAGGACCTCTCGTGAGTCCGCACGTGAGGCAGTAATGCGTTTCGGTTTGAAGGGTGGGGCAGCCGTTGTAACTATACGTAGACCTTAGAAATTATATCTCAAGGTGGGTGGTGCATTTACCTTGTAGATGTCTATGGGCTCCAGTAACATCAGGTGGGCTGTGACTTCGTCCACAAATCAAAGCAATAAAAAAAAACATGCGAAACTCAATACAATTTGTTCGCGTAGAACATCTATATTTCATCTACTTTACGCAATGTGCAGAGCATGTTTCGTTTGCAATTAAATTGCCAAGTGAATTAGGAAAGGTAGGCGAGACAGTGACGGCTGTCGTGCCACATAAAAACTTCCACTAATGTCATGTGGTAATGTAATCATGTAATTGTGTTCCGCTTTCTGTTGTTACAAGGTAATTGACCGAGAAAGAAATGTACTTAGGTAGAATTACACCAAGGTTATTGATGCGATGTTTTGCTGATGTTCGGTACATGAACGAGCTCATTGTCCAGCTGCTGTTAAGCGGCTACCGGGGCTCATAGAAATGAACAACCTAAATACTGGTGGTAGGACCTCTTGTACTGATGGTAGGACCTCTTGTACTGGTGGTAAGACCTCTTGAACTGGTAGTAGGACCTCTTGAACTAGTGGTAGGACCTCCCGCTCTGGTGATAGGACCTCTTGTGAGTCCGCACGGGTAGGTATCACCACCCTGCCTATTTTTGCCGTAAAGCAGTAATTCGTTTCGATTTGAAGGGCAGGGCAGCCGTTGTAGCTATACTGAGACCTTAGAACTTATATTTCTTAGTTCTATAGTACAAAATGGCATCCCCACCCTTCGCACCGGAGAGTATTGCTGCTTCGTGAAACCTACTACATAATATATTATAAAACCTGAAAACAATTATCCGTTTTTAAATTTTAAATTACATAGTATTTTTAATTAAAGTGAAGATTTATTTTATTTTTGATTTCATAAACAAGAGAATGAAACGAGAAAATGCTTCGCGGTAGAGATACGCGTTTCACAAGATGCCATACCACCAGTAATTATGCAAATTAGTATATTTCGTGGGTTTGATTGTTTGGCACATTTCGAATCAACGTTGATTCGAATACCCTATCTGTAAGTAAATAATATGCATTAAAATACCAGTAAAATTAATGTTCAAGATCTTTTGTTAGGACCCATAAATTAAATAGTAAATACATCATCAACTTCATCAGAGCTGAAGACTGGTCGTCGTCTAGTCCCGATCTTAATTCGCTGGATTATGATTTATGGTCAGTTTTAGAGAGTACGGCTTGCTCTAAATGCCATGATAATTTGGAGTCCCTAAAACAATCCGTACGATTGGCAGTGAAAAATTTTCCCATGGAAAGAGTGCGTGCTTCTATTGATAACTGGCCTCAACGTTTAAAGGACTGTATTGCAGCCAATGGAGACCACTTCGAATAAGCTTTTTATATTTTAAATTGTTTTATATTTATGTATTAAACTAACACACTGTAAAAGTAATAAATGTTATTTGCCATAGAATTTTTTTAAATTTTTAATTGTAACAGTATTTATGGCCAGACTAAGTATATATATCCGGCTGTTAGGGTTTCTCCTCTGCTATAAAATTATAATAAAGACAGCTAGACTATAATCATTCATATCGTCATACATTTTTAATGAAGATTTTGACTTTGGTATGAGGCGATCAAGAATCAATTGGCAAGACAATCGTAATTTATTTCAAACATTTCAG